TTGGATGAGCTGGCGGGGGTGCGCGAATCGTTAAGAAAGTGTAGAACGCCATTGTTCGTCCACGCCCGCGCAACCTGCAGACGACCTGCCGACTTAGCGATGTGTCAGTTGGCCGCTTACCCGCAACTACGGGGCCTATGATCAGGAGCGTTTGCTTAGCCTGTCGCCAAGGCGCTGTCCAAAAGTCCCCGACCGCAAAGTATGTCTGCATGTAGAAAGATGTACGTATACACATGTTTCGAATGTGGTGTCAGCCCTGAAGCAACATGAGCAATCGCCATGCCCATCGGAAAGACACATGCTAGACCCGACGTGCAATAGACGCTAAGAGCATGCGCAACAAGTCTTCTTTCTTGAGCAGCTGACTCGCTCTGCAGTAACCAGAACAACACCTTTGTAAAGAGGCCCTAAGCCCAGCATCCAGTAGCTGGGAACACGCTGCAGCATTTATCGAAACCTTTGAAGCGCCCCTCCTCTCATAAGGGCGTCTTGAAAGATCCCAGACCTCGTGCTGACTTTGACAAATCTGAGTGCGGCGAGGGGCTGGCACCAGCACGCATCGTGGCAAGGCTGGACGCCGCTGCTCAGTATCATCCCGTTCAACCCGCTCCTCCTCATCGCCGCCTCGCTTTGTTCCCTCCATCTCCTCATCCGCTCCCCTGCCAATCTTCCAACGGCGAACGCGGCCATGATCGCCTTGCCGGGCTCCCTGGGTCAGCGGTCCCGAGGGAAACTGGGCTGCCGCGGGCCGCACGGGGTCCGGGGGCTCACGCCCGCGTGGCCTATACACCGAGAGGACGCGGAATCGACAACACATGTTACAAAGGGTCCACCAGCAGCGCATCCACCGTCGCTTGAGCTGGCTGGCACACATGCTGGTCTTAGCAGCTGGTTGCGTTGATGCCGAGGCAATGATGACCACGAGACATCTGCATATAGAGAGAGGGAGAACAAGAGAATAGAGAGAGAGAGGGAGAGAAAGAGAGAGAGAGAGGGTACCGTCGTCGTACGGATGCATTCGGCGACGGGCGCGATGCGGAGCACGCTGGCCCTCTGAGACAGCTCGGGGAAAAGTAATGAAACGCATGTTGTAACACAACCCGCGAGGGGGCCGTCAAATACGCGCTAGGCCACTTCGACAGTGCATGAGAAAACTGTCCGAAGGCCCGATGTCGGGCATGGTGGCGACCGAGGTCGTGCCAGCACTAGGAACATTGATAGATAAAGGCGCATGGCCGCCAGAACTACACAGACGCTTCAGAGGACAACAACTGCTCAGCCATCTCCTTGGTCAGAGAACACCCTTGGTCACATGAGCCTGGTAGGTAAATCCACGGACGATTCTCTGGATGTCCAATGCGAAGTTTGCGATCACGCATGAGTTCCATCACAAAGCTACGGAGGCCTTGATACCGGGCGCGACAAACCACCAATTTCGAACCCCTCGTGGCCAAGCTTGTGGGGGTGCCCTGCACCAGCCGGGCGAATTTATCTGCATCCACCGCTTCCCTGAAGTTGATGTGGAAGTAACCCTTGTTCTGGTGGCTCGTGAAATTTCTCGGCACGTACAACAAATCGAAAGTGTTCATGAAGCCGTTCTCCAAGAGCATGCCGTACACGTCCTCCCGTCGGCACCCAGAATGTAATCCCTTCGCGATCAAAGCAGTGTCGCCTTCCCTGAGCGGCTGGTCTACCTCGTCCTGACTGATCTTGAGCTTCGACTTTCGCCTCTGAGGCTGCACCGGGAACTGTGCATCAGCCAAGTACTCATCTCCATCCAACGCGCAGGCCTGCTCCTCGATACCGTCCCCGACATGCGCAGGACCCTGGGCATCCTGCTGGCCGCGCGCCTTGTCCATCAAGTAGATCAGGAGCGAGTCCGACTGCCCAGCTTCTGGTGGCTCGGTGGAGAGGGACGGCTGACCCTTGTCTGCGCCACTGGTCGGCTCCTCGAGCGGGAGTGCGAGCTGGCATGTCGATTGAATGTGACGGCTAAGCTCGAGCTGAAGCTTGGTCACCGCATGCTCGGCCGCGGAGAAAGCCTGCGCGTGGTCCTCAGCGCTCAGAGCTCCCCCGAGGTCATGATGCCAAAGACCTGGCGGGATCGGTGCCAAATCCGAGAATGGTAAATGATGTTCTGGTTGCATCCTGTACTCCTGGACTTGTCCAGATATACTGATGAGATGCCTCTGGACTGCTTCGTGCTGCACGATCGTGTTCCTCACGGAAACCGAATTCTTGGCCATTTGCAGCAAAGCCTGAATACCCTTCTCCTGGGCGCCAGTGGCAACGCGTTCAGGACCCGCAAAGGGGCGGGCCCAAATGCCCATGGTTCTCTTGCAAGGGCAGCGGCCTTCGAAAAGTTCAAAGATTGGAGCCGCTGCTTGCGCCAGAACATGAGACCTGAGCCAATTACGGCAACGGAAGAGGGCTCTTAATCACCCTCGCCGTAAATTTCTTAGCCAGTGGTCGGGCCCTGTACCCGACTGCCACCAGCCCTGGTGGTCGTCGTACGCGGCCGAACTGCTCCGGGCGCACCGCCGCGCCGCGTCAATAATCAAGCAGACAGCGTCGGCCGACTCTGGCCGCATGGAGGCGGGGCCCGTCAGGTGGGGCTGGCACGCGCTACGAGCCAGGGCCCAACCCCCCCAACAAAGCCTTGAGGGGGGTTCGGGGGCGGAAAGCGCCAGGAATGGATGGAATCCTCAGTCGGGTTTCTGGGGGGGGGATCCTCCTCCTCCTCCTCCTCCTCATCCTCCTCATCCTCCTCTCCACCTCCCTAATGCCTAATCCTCCCCTCTTCCTACCACACTCATACTGAAGCTCTCCTCCTATCCTACTCCTCTCCTCCGTCCGCACCTCCCCTCCTCCTGAGGGCTTCTTCTCAACCCTCCTTTCAGTCTCCTGCTCTCCCTCCCCCTCCTCCCTCCTAAGTGCCTAATCCTCCTCCTCCTCCTCCTCCTCCTCCTCCTCCTCCTCCTCCTCCTCCTCCTCCTCCTCCTCGGGGCGCCAGGACGCCACACCGCTGCCTGCACACCGCGCCCTGGCACGCCCCACAACGGCCGCCCAGCCGAGGCGCTGGCCCACGCGGCGCGCCGGGCATACCCGCGCCCGCCAGAGGCCCCTCATCAGCCCGAGGAGGATGGGGGGACAGAAGAGCAACACCAGCGCCTCCTCCCTCCTCCCTCCTCCTCCTCCTCCTCCTCCTCCTCCTCCTCCTCCTCCTCCCCCTCCTCCTCCTCATGCTCCTCCATCCCTTTTCCTGATAAACAGCTCCTCCCTGTCGCACCCCGAGACGTGTCGGCAGGCCGGGCCGTGCGCTTCGCCTGAGACTTCCCCACCAACAGATGGAGGGCGGGTCGTTTTCAAAACGTGGCCCTCGTTCGAGCGCCGCACAGTTTCGTCTCAAAAATTGGGCGGAGCTTCGCGGATGGAGGGCGGGTCGATTGCAACATGTGGTGATCGCCTGAGCGCTGCGCACATTCGTATTCAAGGTTCGCAAGAGATTCACGCATGGAGGGCGGGCCGTTTTCAAAATGTGGCTCGCCTCACTCACATTCGTATTCAAGGTTAGCAAGAGCTTCATGGATGCAGAGCGGGCGGTGTTCAAAATGGGATTCCCGTTTCGCGCCGCGCAAATACGTCTTCAAAGTTTGCAAATACGGCGCATTCACGGATCGGGCAGTTCCTTTTCAACATGTTGCTCTCACCTGGGCGCCGCGCACACTCGTCTCAAGAGTTTACAGCATTCGCAAGGATTATTATAGTGGACGCCACAAAAAATGAAGTGGCACGATGTAGGACTGTCAGGGCGCAACAAGATCCAGGATCGTGAAGACTCGAAAGTACTGTTGATTCGCGAACTTGAAGTTCCAGGAGTTGTGTTTTAGCACGGTCGTGGACTCTCAGACGGTCGTCATCTGACGGGGCACTTTCCCCAGTGAAAACAAATGCTTGTAGGGACCTGCGAAGTGGGACCCTGGAGGTAGGGTTGATTGCAGCATCGTTGATGAGTCTTGGGTTTACACTGGTCCTCCTCCTCCTCCTCCGCCTCCTCCTCATCATCAGCATCATCATCATCGTCATCATCAGCAGCAGCACCATCATCATCATCATCATCATCATCATCATCATCATCATCATCATCATCATCATCATCATCATCTTCATCATCATCATCATCATCATCATCATCATCATGCACCATCATCATCACCAGCATCATCAGATCAGCAGCAAATCATCATGCATCATCCATCATCACATCATGATCATCATCAGCATCATCATCATCATCATCATCACAAGATCATTCACATCATCATCATCATCATCATCATCGTCAGCATCCTTCTCCTTATCCTCTCCTCCTCCCCTTCCTCCTCCTCCTCCTCCTCCTCCTCCTCCTCATCCTCTCCCTCCTCCTCCTCCTCCTCCTCCTCCTCCTCCTCCTCCTCCTCCTCCTCCTCCTGTTCCTCCTATTCCTCGTTCGTTGGTTCGTAGCTTAAGGCGATTATTTATAGCAGATCATCTCCCCCTCCTCCTCCTGCTCCTCCTCCTGCTTAGCGCTTACAAGCGATAACGACGCATCGTAGCCGGAGTCGGCGCCAGGGCCGAGGCGAGCGAGGGGACGGATAGGGAGGAGCGCCTCGAACGGGCCAGGAAGTGAAAGAGGCGGGGGCAGGAGACACAGTGGGGCAGGCAGGCCTTGGGCGCCGAAGCTGGCAGCCTCCCAGAGATTGTCCACTCTCCCACGGATGTGCAGACGTGAGCCCAGACCCGGGACGGCTGGGACCGAACCAAGCGGAAGATGAGGCGAAGGCGGAGGAGAAGGAGAGGGAGGTTCCGTTGTTTCATCCTCGTCCCACAGAACACATTTCGAGTCTTGCAGCGCGACCGTGCCAGCATGACGCAGGCAACCTGCCCAACACCGGCTCTCGATGCGGGAAATCGCGTCGACATGACATTGCATGCGCAGTGGGATATCATGCTCTTATCTCTTATGCGCTTCCAGCTTCCCGGAGAACTTCGGCAACCCGGTGGCGGCCGCTTTGCAGGGCCAGCTCGAGGGCAGTCGCGCCGCCAGTGGACTTGATGTTGGGACTTGCTCTTGCCGCTAGCAAGGAGACCACCACCTCCTTGTAGCCGGCCGACGCGGCGCACCCCAAGGCGGTGGCTCCCACCTGCGCAGCCTGGTCGACGCAGGCCCGCGACCTCAACAGCTGCACGGTCACCTCCCTGTGCCCGCCCATCGCGGCGACGACGAGGGCGCTGCGCCCGCAGCCGTCCACCGCCTCCACGCACGCGCGCCCCTCCAGCAGCAGCGCCACGGCCTTCGCCTCTCCGCCTGCAGCTGCGAGCCGGAGCGGGGAAGCCCCGCCACTGGCCTGGGGAGCGGCACACAACTCAGGGGGGCCTGCGAGATTCACCCTCCTTAGAGTTCCCCCCTCTTCACCGGGGAAGGCAAAGATGAGGAATAAGAACGAAAAACAAAAAGGAGGGAGAGGCGGGGGAATAATAAGGAAAACCAGAAAGGAGGAAGAGGTGGAGGAAGGAGCACAGATGCGTACATCAGTGGGCAGCTACCCAAGTACACCTGACCAATGGGTGAGGCTGACCAAAGAAGGGGACGGATGATGAAGGAAAGAGAGCGGAAGAAGCGAAAGAGGGGTCAGAGACCCGGACACAGTCCCCTACAACCTTCAAAACAACCAACTATAATGGTTGTGTGTGTGTGTTCTCTCTCTCTCTCTCCTCTCTCTCTCTCTCTTTCTCTCATTTTTTTGTTGTTTCTCTCTCTCTCTCTCTCTCTTTCTTTCTCTCTTTCTCTCTCCCTCTCTCTCACACACTCTTTCTCCATCTCTCGCAATATGTATATATATATATATACACACATACACCCTCATCATCTTTCCTCCCGCCCCCTCTTCGCCCCCCTCCCTTCCCCCTCCCCCTCCCCCCCGCCCTCCGCCTCCTCCTCAACCTCCTCCTCCTCCGCCGTCTCCTCCTCCTCCTCCTCCTCCTCCTTCCTCATCCTCCTCCTCCTCCTCCTCCGCATCCTCCTCCTCCTCCCCGCCTCTCCATCCACCTTCCCCCTTCCCCTCCTCTTGTTCCTCCCCCTCCCTCTTACTCATTCTCCTCTTCCCTCCATCTTTCATCCTCATAAATAACTCCCCCTGTCTTACCCGCACACGTGTTCGTAGGACGGGCTGGGCGTTTCGCTCAACGACTTCCTGTTCAACTGTTCACTCTGAAGGTTGAAAAACAAGAAAGTGCACGTATGGGACTCTCGCTTGCAACTCCCGAACATATAAAACTGCAGTCCCTGTCGAAACGGACACTTGAACCCCCCGAACATATGGGACTCTCGCTTGAAACCCCCGAACATACAAATTGCACGACTGGAGATGAAAGTAGGTCCCTGTCAAAACGGGACTATCGCTGTACACCACCTGAGACTATACATTCTACCACTATGACCATATGACTACTACTAATCGGACATTCGGTTTGACATTGGCGCAAAAACATATTTGCAATGCGTATGTATATCTAGTCATATAACTATAGTAGATGTACGGATGTATAAACATATAGCGGTCTGTCCACTGGTCTTACCGCGCGTCGACCGCACGGCTTCGAGATAGAACTACCAGCACAAGCATGCATAGATCGATCCGGCTATTCACGAGGATCATTCTAACGATCTGTCGATCTCACTATCAATCGCACTGTTCACGTTCTTTCGATACCGGTATGCCAATCAACCGATCTATCAATCTGACTATCGATGAATTAGTCCCACACTTTATCGGACACACTCTTATTCGAATGACGACTACGGGAAACCCACAGCGCAAGACAACCACGTGACAACGAGGGGACAACAACGAGACGGCCACAGAGCGACCAGAGGACAACCACGGGACAACGAGGGGACAGCCACAGAACAACCATGGACAACCATAGGGGAAATCGCAACACAACCTCGGGGCAACCACGGAGATTCACCGAAGAACCACGGGACAACCACGGGACAACCAAAGGGCAACCTCTTAACTAAGTCGGGACAAGCGCGGGCCAACGACGGACAACCGCGGGACAACTATAGGACAACCACGGAACAACCGAGGAGCCACCGCGAAGCAATCAGAAGACAAACACGGAACACCTGCGGGACAACCACGAGAAAACCATCGGGACCCGGGACAACCAAGGGACAACCATGGAACAGCCACGGAATAACCTTGGAACAACAACGGGACACCCATCAGGAAACACCCATTGGTACAGCCATCGGGACAGCCATCGGGACAACCATCGGGACAACTATCGGAACAACCATCGGAACACCCATGGGGACAACCTTCGGGACAACCATCGGGACAACTAGCAGGACAACCACTGGATCAACCAGCAGGACAACCATCGAGACAACAATGGAGATAACCAGCAGAACACTCATCAGAACAATCGCAGGACAACACCGTGCACGCCCCGGGCAAGCCGACACATTTTGGCATGACCCGGGCCTAGCTAGTGCAGGAACAATTCCTGCTGCTCCGCTTCGCACGACACGAACCGCTCCGTCTCACTTCGGTACTGTTCGGAACTGTTGCTTAGCGTGTCGCCGCGGCGGCCCCGGCGACACGCAATGCCTTGAAAGCGAATAAAGTCTCACGCCGCTCCGTGGGGTGGAGGGCTCGGAAAGACTCGGGACGTGGAAGCCTGGGGACTGGGAAATGGATAGCGTCTCACACCGAAGCGCGGTGGGCAAGAACCGGCGGAGCGACACGCTATCCAAAAGTTCCCGACCGCATCTAGACACCACTTAGATGGGGTAGCAGCAAATGGGGCCGAAGGATCGCGCAGCATCGCCGCCACATCGGCGACGTCGGCGATGAATGGGCGATGTCGGCGTGGAGAAAGCGGTCTCCAAATCGAGCTGCATCGCCGATGAATCGGGGATGCGGCGCGATCCTCCTACCCCATCATCTCCGACCCAATCTGGGAGGCCTAGAGTTAGGTCGGGCGTATCCTCCTACAGGCGGATTTTGGACAACAAATAAAAACGAAATCAAGCATACTCAAAAATATTCGAAAATATTCCGGAAATCGGCCCCAGGCTATTCTTCTACTATTCTTGAATATTCCTCCTGTAGAGAGACATGCCCGACTTAAGCCTACAACATCACCCCCAACCTCTGATCCCCCCGCCGTTTTTAGAAGCCACCAAAATCCACCCCCAGAATAACCACCCCGACTAGCGAGGCCGTAAAGTAAACGCACCCAAAGAAGGAATCGAACAGGGCGAGGCTGTTTAGTAAACGCCCGAGACCGTTTAGTAAACGCCAAGTAGC